TTAACATTAAAATAGTTCCTGACAACAGGAGAGGAACAACTATATACATAAATAATACAAGGAATAAGTACAAGGCAAGGAGAACTACATGTTAACTAAGAAGGGAATGAGTAGTTGAATCCAAATGGAGATTAATCCTAATTTAAGGTAATTATTTTATGCTTAAATAGGTAATTAAAAAATGACAGAAAAGAGACGAATACTCTATTGTTAACTCCAAGGCACCATCCAAATACTTTTGCCATAGTATTCAATAGTAATACATGAAATTCTTATAGCTCTTAATAAAATAACCTTATAATAATCCTGTGAAGACTACAGATAAAACTGCGGCCCAGGAAAGGAAAGGGGAATGACAGGAATTGAGCCATTTTTGTGTCCAGCAGACACTTCCTATTTCATTCTTCTAGAATGTAAGCTCCCAGAGAAGAAGAACTCTGTCTTATTGTTCACTGACTCCCTAGTTCCTAGAACAGTGCCTGCCACAAAGAAGTATGGATTCAGTAAATATTTGTTGAATAAATATATCCCCATTTTATAGATGAGGAAATTGAGGATCAGAAAGACAGTTATGGATGTAGGGACACAAAACCATTAAATTAAGGCTCAAACCAAATTCAGTATTCTTTCTTCAACTATAATGTCTGAAATAGTTTGGTTATTAGCTGAAATTTGGAGATCATTTTATAACACTTGGTGCTATCAAAATAACTGTTCTGAATGTATAATTTACACTTGTCATTAAATTTTGATTAAGTCAGAAACAGAAGAAAACGGAATTGTCTTGAAAGGAATAGGCTGGATAATACTACAGATGTGAAATGACAGTTTTAAAAGCTTTATTTTACCAATTTAAGTGTGACAAAGGGGGACAGAACGTTGAATTTTTTATCAGATTTAAATTTAAAAATAATGCAGCAAAAAAAAAGAAGAAAAATCTACACACATATGTCTCATCTGAAGGGAAAAATAAAAAGAGAACTATTTTAATTGCTATTGTGCAGATAGATGCTGCAAATTATACGTGAGTTATCCATTCAATAAAGTAGACAGAGGATGGCCTTTTTTGAAGGTGGAGGCTGCCATTTGGTTCAAATTACTATGAACTTCTTGAAAACAATTAAAATGCTTTTCTCTGAAAAAAAAATCTATACTTCAAACTGCCTGCCAATTAGTATGAAACACTAAAGTATTAAAATGCCAATGTAAAGAATTAAAACAGTGAGACTGTATCTCTGTAAAAATCCAAAACATATCAATAATCCAATAAATATACAGTTTAAGAAACTAAAATGCAATTTACTTTCGCATGCTGACATTACTTTTCCAGAATATTTATATGTCCTACGTAGTAGACATATACATATATCAATCCTTTCAAACATAAACCAAACTCACAGTATGAAAATATTTGAAAGCTGTAAAATCCAAATTGCTTAGAAGTCCACTGCAATAAATAAACTGTAAAATAATATTCTCAACTAAATACTTAGAAAGCAACAATGTCCTAGACTCATTTGAAGATGCTTTTCCTCAAGGGAAACTCCTGCCAGCTTTTTAAAGTGGTTTATCAATCAGATTTCTCACCTGGCAAGAATAAAATGTAAAGAGGACAAAAATTCTGGAATTTAGCTAGAACTTAGTCTTACATCTTCTCATTCACTATATAAAAATAAGAGAAATCAAAATGCAATGTTTTATTTTGCCTATCTTAGCATGAAAACACATTCATCAAAACTCTGAGTTACAAAGATTTGAGGGTAGTCTAGAATAGGTGAAATTCAGGTATAAAAATTTTAAATTCCATTTTAACCAATAGCTTCAATTCCCTTCTACATTAAATATTTTATCAGAAACTTATACAAATGTTCTAGATCTTTCCCTCCCCTGAATTCTTAAATTATTCCAATAAACATCTTCTGAGAACATTCTATGTAAAATACACTTTAAGTATTTGCATGTGACTTAGCTAATGTTCACATGGGCCCTGTGATGAAATCTTCCTTTTACTCATAACTAAACAAGGCTTGGCAACGTTAAGCAACTCATCCCTGGTTACAAAGCTGTCAGAGGCAAAGTCTGCACCTGAATAAGGTCTTCAGACTATACCACAACTGTAATCAACCACTTTATCTGGTAATCACATATTGCCGTACAACACACTGTACTATTAACTTTCACTGTTATTTTCTTAATTTTCCCTATGTTCATGACTTTAAGAGCAACGTGCTGTGCTTTGATATCTTAACAGTATCTTTAGTATTAGCAGATTGATTCAAGTTGCTTGTATGATAGAATTACAGACTACAAGTTTAAAAATTCTCAAAGCCTCACACTTGTTAAATGGAAATGATACCAAAATAACTGAGTGCTGTTAAATGCCTTCCATGTATTAACTCATTTAATTCTCATAATAGCCCTATAAAATCAGTACCTTATTGTCCCATTTTGCAGAAAAAATGCTAAAAGCTAGAAAGGTTATCTAACTTGCCCAAGATTAAGGTTACAAGCTAGTTTTGGGCAAGGCTTCAAAAGCCAAGGTATTCTGTCTCGAGTGGTTACATGCTCAATGTTAAAACTGTCCCTCTAAGACTAGACAATGACTAAATGAAATCATGTGGTCATACAGTTGAGAAATTCAAAAAATTTTAACTCTGGGCAATGATTTCTTGGATATGAAACCAAAAGCACAGGCAATAAAAGCAAAAATAGACAAATGGCCCTATATCAAACTTAAAAAACTCCTGTACATCAAAGGAAACAACAGAATGAAAGACAACCTACAAAATGGGAGAAAAAAATCTGCAAATCACATATCTGATAAGGAGTTAATATCCAGAATATATAAAGAACTCTTACAACTCGACAACAAAAAAATAACCTAATTTAAAAATGGGCAAAGGACTTGAATAGATATTTCTCAAAAAATGATATAAAAATGGCCAACAAGCAAATAAAAAGATGCTCAACATCACTAATTGTTAGAGAAATGCAAATCAAAACCACAATGAGATATCAGCACACACTTGCCAGGATGGCTACTATCAAAAACCAAAATGCAAACAAACAGAAAATAACAAGTGTTGGTGAGGATGTGGAGAAACTGGAACTCTTGTGCACTGTTGGCAGGAATGTAAAATGGCGTTAACTGCTATGGAAAACAGTATGGCAGTTCCTCAAAAAAAGTGAAAACAGAATTACCAATATGATCCAGCAATTCCATTTCTGGGTATATATCCAAAAGAAGTGAAAGCAGTATCACAGAGGTATTTGCACACCTGTTCATAGCAGCATTATTCACAGTAGCTAAGATATGGAAACTACAATCTATTCATAGATGATGAATGGATGCCAAAAATGTGGTGCATATATATATATATATATATATATATATATATATATGTGTGTGCAATGGAATATTACACAGCCTTCAAAAAGGAATTCCTGTTATATTTATGCTACAACATGGATGAACTTCAGGGACACTATGCTAAGTTAAATAAGCCAGTCAAAAAAGGCAAGTACTATATAATTCCACTTATATAAGTTATCTATAGTAGCCAAATTTTTAAATGAAATTACAGTGGTGGTTGCCAGGGGCTGGGTGGGTAGGGAAATGGGGAATCGTTTAATTGGTATAGAGTTTTAGTTTTGTAAGACAAAATTTTGGAGATCTGTTGTACCACAATGTGAAAATGGTTAACACGACTGAACTATACACTTAAAAATGGTTAAGTTGGTAAATTTTGTTGTGTTTTTGCCACACTAAAAACAAAAAATCACTATCTTTTCTTTCATTTCCCTCTCCTGTCCTTCCTGGTACAGTACTTAACAGCAGTGTAATGAAAAGGATAGAGAAAAGTACGGAATGCAAGGGCTTTAACAATGTAGAAAAGAATTAAGAAAACAACAATAAAATGAAACAGGTCTCCCCACATTCTTACTGACTTACTGATAATTTTTTTCTTAACCTGGAAATATCTTGAACCTCAGGTGAAAACAGTATGCTATCGGCCAGACAATGGAGTGTAGTGGTGAAGGGCCTTTTGGAGCTAGAGAGCTCAAGTAGTATTCTGACTTTGTTACTAATTACTGTCTGACCTTGGGTAAGTTATTTTCATTCATTTACTCATTCATTCATTCATTCATCAAAAAGTCTGTTTCCCTATGAGTAAACCTGGTCAAATGAATCCTAGGACTGTTCTGGGGAGTAAATGAAACAATTCATGTAAAACACTAGACACTTTGTAAGCACTCAATACATGCTGGCTATAATTACTTTATAGCTTAGAAAGCAGGACAAGAACAGGACTTCGACTAAAGGAAGTCCAGTACTCTATTCCTAAACATGTGCCTCATTTGCCGGTAATTATGGTGCTATCGAATCGGATACTACTTAGCAAATCATTCCTGACTCTATCATTCTTGTGCTCCTCTCTTCTAAAGAACTCTCTCTCGGAAAAGCAATGTCATCTCAGGTGTTCGAAAACGTTTGCTCTGGCAACAGTGCTTCCTACCCCAGAGGCCGTGGAACCAGGGACCTGTACATTAACCACCAAGAGTTCCCCGTTCCTCTCACTTCATTAGGGGTCTAGACCTTATTTGGGGGTGAAGATGAGGAGGGAGGGGGCCACACACCCACACACCCAGATATAAAGCCCCACTCTGGTAAGACAGGACCAGACGAATCTCCTGGAAGAATGACAGCTGGACATTTACGAAAACCGACCAGGGAACCGACAACTCTCGCCTGCCGGCTGAGAGCCGGCATCTCGCAGGCAAGCTGGCGTGGAGGGAGTCTCGGGCGGTCCACAGCGGGCCCGGCTGGGTCGGTCAGGGCCGGGGCGGGGGTGTGTCGGGGAGGACCGTTCGGGGGGCCGGGCGGGCGGGGGCGTGGGGCCCGGGGTCCCTGCGGCTCCCAGAGGGGCGATGGTGGGGCGGGGGCGGGCTGCGCGGCGGCCCGGGGACCGGCCGGGGAAGAAGGGGACCGAGGGCCTCACCGCGGGCCGAGGGCAGTGGGTAGAGCTTCTCGGCCTTCTGCAGGAAGCGCTGGGCCTTCTCGCGATTGCCGGCGTTCAGGGCCTCCCGGGCGATCTCGACACATTTCTCCGCCTCATCCCGGTTCCCCTCCATGGCTTGCGCCTTCTTCCGTTTCCTGCGGGGGCGCAGCGACGAGAGGCGGAAGCCGCCGTCGCCGAGGAGGCGAGGCTGGCCGGGGTTGGGGGCGTGCGGAGGCGAGCGGGGAGGAGCGCAGGCGACCGCGGCGGCGGGGCCCCAGCGCGCTGGCGGGCTCGCGGCTCCGCCTCCTCTCGGCGGCCTCCCCGCCCCCCGCGGGCCGCTACGGCTCGAACCGCATCCCTCCCGGCCCCCGGACTGACCTCCCGGGCCCGACCGCCCGAGCCGACTCGGCGGTCCCTGCCAGGCGCGGCCCGGCTGGGGGCCGACCGACCTGGGGGCCGGGGGTGCGGGTGATACCGGGCCGGCTGCCCGCCGCGGGGTTCCGCCGAGGCGGGGACCCGGCCGCCTGCAGCGGCAGTGACGTGCCCCCTGACCTCCCGGGGCGGCCCGCTCGGGCGGCAGCCCGCCTTCCTATAGCGGCCAGGCGACAGGTCGGGGTGGGGACGTCCGTTTTCAGGAAGATTCCCAGGGATCGAAGGCCCCGCCTCTGGGCCCCCAGCCTCGGGAGGATTCCGTCAGGTGAGGACCGCGCTTCCGGCACAGGTGTTCAGGAAGTCCAGGAGAGCTTAGTTTGACCCTCACTCCTGTTTCATTGCCGTATTTCAGCGATACACCATTTTTCTGACTCAGATGCCATTAAACTTAGTACATCCAAGAGGTACAAAGCAAACGCTTAAATAATTTGTAGTTTGCACTTATTCTGGTGAAAACCACAACCCTAATAAGGCTTCATGACCGAAACAGGGCTGAAATCAGCTCTTTGAGAGCGTATTACCATCATATAAGTAAACTTGTTGGGTTTTCTCCCTTCTTCCATTTTAACATCACCCCTTGTGAAATGATGTACCATGTCATGTTGGTCTCCTCGGTGAAGGGAAAGGGCCCACTTTTTGCTTGGTAATGTCCTTTTCCAAATTTCAAAAATTAAGAACTTGCCAGGAACCAAGTGTGGAAATGATCCATACTACAAAATAACCATTTTCACACAATGCTCAGTAGAGATATCGTTAGCCATGCCAGCAAATATGAACTCAGGACTTTCATAAAAATCCTGATTCCTCTCTGTAAAACGGGAATAGCACGTCCCCCAAAGATGTTACCGTGTATTGAACAATTTAATTCAAGTAGCCTTCAAAACAGCCTGCAGCACACAGGAAACACTATTCTCAGTCTAAACTGGAAGTTCCTTCCGTGGAGGTAGCTACGTACAGGACTCCCCTACCTGCTCCCCACCTCTCCCACCCAACTCCACCACAGTGCTCTGGCGTAGTACTGCTGTCACTAACAGCAAACACAGCTAACAAACAGAGATGGTCAAACTTAACCTAGAAAACAGCAACCTGTCCCATGCTCCGGCTCCTGCTGAAGTTTTAAAACCTTTTATTACATAGTTAAAAAAAAATTACACTTGTGCCTTCTGACTCTGATGTACAGAATTAAGAGTTTAATTTCAAGGAAAGAAACGTGCTTAGGTTATTGCTGGATAAGATACCTATTCAAAACAAAGCTGTTCCTATTATAATCAAGCAGATTTTATACACAACTAGTTTGGGATATGACCTTTATTGAGCTTATCCACCGGAGTGGAAATAATGTCTGTACAAAACCAAATGTTTGTTACTATAACTTCTGCATCACAATTAAAATCCAAACAGTTTTTTAAAAACAGTCAACTCAATCAAAACCCACTACTTCAGAATCAATAGCTTCTTTGAAGCCACAGTAACACTTAAATATGGTTAAGACTCGAATGCAGAAATTTGGTTGGTTGGAAAGCTAATTAAACTTCCAACTTGCTCAAATAGAATTACAAAAAGGCAAAATTGTGTTTTTCACAGAGATACAGTCCACTGGAATCACCAACACTGGACAGCTGTTAAGAGTATTTAGAGTCCTGAGATAATAAGGAATCCAGGCATCCTTTAGACAGTCTTCTGTTGTCCTTTCTTCCCAATCAGAGATTTGTGGATGTGTGGAATGACACCTGGAAGAAGGATAAAATAACATAGTACTTTAAAACCAAGATAGTTTAATGTTCAACTTGGAAGACGTCTTTAAATGTGAGACCTAAGTGTGCAGAGCAAAAATTCAGAAATACATACAGATATCAAATTTCATGATGCAACCATACTACAGATCACTGAAATTATACTGTGTCCTCTTCTAGACTGAAAATTACTAGTAGGAATTAAAGCATTCTTTTCTCTAAAGCAATTAAAATTTTAGTATTTACATACCACCACCAGCAATTGTAGCCTTGATGAGAGAGTCCAATTCTTCATCTCCACGAATAGCAAGTTGCAAGTGACGAGGGGTAATACGTTTTACCTTCAAGTCTTTTGATGCATTTCCTGCCAATTCAAGTACCTAGAAGACAGAATGTAATCAATCTCCTTCCCGCTTTCCTTATCTTCAAGATCCTGACAAGAATCAAAGCCTCATGAACGTGTATCTACCAAGTGTCATCTCCCCCACTACCTGAATGGCAAGATACGCAAAAGCTATAAAGGGGGCACGCAATTTTATTTCCTGAAGCCGCAAACTCAAGCCCAGCAGGATCCCATCGTGAACAGCAGCCCCCTCTAGTGTTGTCAGAAGCTTCTCGCCGCGTTTAGAGCCTGGGAGTTTTCTTGCATCACTTTCCTCCTTCCCTCCCGCCGCCTCCCCCCACCCCACCCCCCCAATCTTTCCCAGATTATAGGCGTACACCCATTTACCTCTGCGGTGAGGTACTCCAGGATGGCTGCGCTGTACACAGCGGCAGTCGCGCCCACACGTCCATGGCTGGTCGTCCTAGATTTCAGGTGTCGATGAATACGGCCCACCGGGAACTTTATTTTTAGCATACACAAACATAAATGCACAAAGGTAGACGGGCCAAAGACGGTAAAATTATACGCGCGCCAAAGCAAGGGGAACGGACGCTGGTGCAGCAACGCGCCCCAGCACCCACACACGTGATCGCCCCCCTCCCTGATATTTATTGTATCGGTAAACCAAGTCGCGACACCATCGCCCACGCAAAGACGAAACGCTCATCTAGAGTGATGATAAACAAGAGAGGAAAAGGAAAGAAAAACGCCACGATTCCCAGACTGCACGAACCACCACTGACCTGCAAACCGGCTCTCTGCGAGCGGGAAACCGCCTTTGTCTTGGCCTTTCCGGAGTCCTTCCCAGCCTTACCGCCAGCCTGCGGCGCGCACACGCCCGCGAGCGAAGAAGGAACGCAGAATATAGGATTACCAGGGCGGCGCGCCCCTCCCCCACCGCGGCGCGGCCCGGGCGCGAGCGCGGCCCCGTGCCCAGCCGGGGTCTTCGGCCCGCCGCGCGCCGCAAGGGCGACC